GATGACATCAAGCTGCATGCCAAAAACGAATGGGACATCGACTCACTGATCCACCTAACATGGATCTTCAGTGAGGACATCAGGATATCATTCTGACTGGAGCAGTGTGGTAGGATGATAGTAGGAAGAGGGAAGGCGATAAAGACTGATGGGTTTAAACTACCAGGGGGCCACATAGCAGACATACAGACCACCCACAAATACCTTGGTATCCCACAGTCACATGGGAACCACGATGAGGAGGTAAGAAAGACAGCAGTGTTGTTGCGCTGCAGTGTCTAAGTACCATCAAAGGATAAGACAGGTCCTGAAAAGCCAACTCAATGGGAGGAATGAGATTCAAGCCATCAACACATATGCCCTGCCATTCATCAGATACCCTGCTGGCATAGTGAACTGGCCACAGGAGGACATGGAGACCCAGAAACCTCTCACAATACATGGAGACTTCCACCAGAGGTCCCTAGAAACTGTACACCAGCCAGAAAGAGGGTGGACAGGGCATGGTGAGTGTCAAGGCCACTGTCCTAGTTTAATCCAGAGCATTGAGAAGTACATCAGTAAGATGGCACCCAGAGACGAGCTGATAAGAGAATGTCTGAGACAGCAACAGACAGGGACTGAAGACCAACCAGAGTTGGCATGATAAGGCCCTGCATGAGATGTAAAACTGACAGATAACTGAGGTGGCTGACATTGGGAAGTCCTACCAGTGGCTGGAAAAGGCTGGCCTATCGGACAGCACTGAGGCCCTGATCATAGCAGCACAAGAACAGGCACTAAGTACCAAATCAATCGAAGCAGGGGTCTTCCACATCAGACAGGAATCCAGGTGCAGACTGTACAAAGAGGCCTCTGAAACAGTCCAAGACATAGTAGCAGGATGTAAAATGCAGGCAGAAACAGCATAGAGTGAAGGGCACAAGTGAGTGGCTGGCACTGTGTTCCTCATATTCTGACCCTCTCATGTATGTAGCTGGGGAAGGCAAAAATATAGAGACACCTCTGATTATAATGTAGTCCAGTACAACACCACATGTAACTATGACTTCAATAATAAACATATAATTGAATTTATACATTTATGACAGTTTCACCAAAAACGGAAACATTTTGAGCTTCAGAAATGCAGATGTTAAGTTAGAAGTGTTGCACTAAATTGTGTGTGTATATTGTGTATATGACTATATATGAACATGTATGATTAATAAAACTAGTGTTTACTGAGCTGCTGTCTGTAAAGTGATAAGTTAACAACAAGATAGCAGTGGTTCAGAAGCATGGCGCAAAACCAGTCACAGGAACAGGTGACATTTTGTTTCCCCATGCTGTGTACTGTAAAGTGGACATGGGGATACACCCCTACTTCCTAATGCAGGGTTTGTTACAGTAGCAACATTTAATAGAATTACTAGGCTAGTTAGCTAGCCTGCAAACAGTTTTACTATAGTTCTGTGAGGGGACTCTTCAGTGGACAGATGATCATCTAAGTGGCACTTTATGTAAGAAGCTGAGTTTTCCTAGCCCTTTTGACAAACTGGTATCTGGGGGGACATGGCAAAGATTAGTGTTTCATTTTTCTAAAGTAAATGCTGCATGTGTAAATGTGTTTTATCAGATGGCTCTGTTGAGTCCTTGTGTGTCGTTAGCATGTTGCTGTGTCATGGTGGGTGTTCTACTCTCATGGTGCTGACTTCTATTGTAATGTGCTGTTTCTGTGTTTCTGATTGTGTGAGTTATTAGGTGCACCATGGTGTATTTACACTAGTTATCCATTGTTGAGTGTTGCTTCCTATTGGCTTATTGCAAATTCACTGCTGCTGTGCTCACAATTTGTTGACATAATTATTTCCCTGTCTTATTAGCTTCAAGGGGAAATCAATAAATCTCATAAAGGACAGGTAGTCACAGTCACTTTCACCACACACTTCATATGTAGCTAAACATTACAAAAACATTTCAACTTAAAGCCACATGCTTATGCAACAGCTTGTGTTACTATACTTCATTTCATAATTGCATTAAAACTGCTGAGCTCCGGTTCAGTTTAAACTTCTACAGTACATTCAGCTGCATTCGTGGCCGACCTACATGTTATAGGCACGCAGGCTATTGATGTTTATCTCCTCCTTATCAACACTGTATGCCGTTTCATAAAACCACACTTTCAGTTCTGAGATATGAATTTCAGATTTTATCTGTAGGTTGATAATTATCTACTGCATAGCAGATGTGTCTTAGCCTGCATATTAGGTGGTTTATTTGGTTTGGGTTTATCTATCTCAGTTCACAGTGGTATAGTGTATCCCATGCAGCGGCTAGAGATGCTTTCTTGTGGACTGGAGGCCGGTGGTACTGGACAGTAGGCAGTAGATTCTGCTATATATAGTAGTTGTATATTATGCAGTTGTAGGAATTAAGTTCACTGTCACTTCCCAACATTGCTGTACTGAGTTTGATGTGTGTGTGTATGGGGTCCAAAGTCACCAAATACAGTATCTGCATTCACTTAAATTGATTCTATATGAATTAGCCTAATAAAATATAGGATTGCCTACTAATTTCTTTCCGGCTCACTGGTTTGTTCATTTTGGAATTGCTCTTAAAACATTAGGGAAGGAACTATTCCTTTAGCTTACTGCAGCTCAGAAAGCTAAGAGTTGGTGGAAGAGGTTACAAACGTGCACTTCGATGAAGTGCAAACTTCAGTGGACAGTCAGGACTGCAGAAAAGGTCATTTGTGCGAGCCTGCCCTCCATGGAGGACCTGTACTCTTCATGGGTCAAAAGGAGGATCAGAGAGAATCACGGCAGACCCCTCACACCCTGGACATAATCTGTTTGAACTCCTCCCCTCTGGACGGCGTTACAGGTCACTGTGCACCAAGACAACCAGGCACAGGGGCAGTTTCTTCCCCCAGGCCATCACTCTGATGAACACTTAACCAACGACAGTATGACTGGACAATAACCCTCAGTGCAATACCTGTAACTATACATCATACAGATTATACAGATTTGTACAGGTCTCCTGTTTGAAGTATTCTGTTTTTATTCCTATTTATCTCATTTCAATGAACATTCCTTTGTTTGTCTGCATTGTTTACTGCCTGTTTATACTGCTTATTTTGCATTGTTTGGACTGTTTGTTGCTTGTTAATACTGCTCATTTTGGTTATATTACACAGCCTTACACTGGTTTACTGTTTGCTTGCCCCTTGCATGGGGATATGTACGTGTACATTAAGAGCCGATGTACCAGAGTCAAATTCCTCGTGTGTCTGACACACCTGGCTAATAAAGCTGATTCTGATTCTGAATGCTGAGCACTGGGACACGCTTCACAGGCTGCATTCTCAGAATCAGTTGATACCCAGGCAAAATGCAAACATTTCCTTAGTTTCCATGGCACTGTTTGCTCATCCTGATTGAAGCTTTTAAGAAAGGAGGAGGAAACAGGAGAACACATCAGACCAACAGTTGGTGATGATGGTATCAGAGATGATTTCAACAAGAACCCCCTGCAGCCCCCCTTGTCAGGAGCAGATGGCTGAAGCAGATGATCTGTTGAGCATCACTCCTGGTGTGGGTTGCAAAAGCAATGATGTGACTTTTTTTTTTTTTTTTTTTAAACTGGTGCTTACATAACTAGTTGTCATTCGTTTGATGATGGAATTTAGTATTTTAGATTCTAATTCACTTCTCCCAAACAGTTTCTGACTAATTGCGCCAAGAGTCATAATCAAAGTGAAAGCCACCCAGTGAGCTGCATTCCAAGTTAGAGATTATATGATGTTATGAGTGATTAGGAGTTATTCCTAGACAGACATTGCATTGCTGTTAAGAAAAAACAGCTCCTAAATGAACATTTGCATTGGAAAGTCAAATCAAATTAACATGCCCTATATTAAATGAGTGATTTGTTGGTGAATCAGCTGCCATGAGGTTAGGCTAAGCTATTAGTGACATATTTGTTTGAAGCAAAGACCAGGAGGAGGAGAAACACAAGAATCAAACTGGTTGCTGTTTCTTCAGCACCTTGAACAATCAGAAAAATCTTTAAGGAATCAAACAATACATATCAAGGCTCTGAAAGGTTGCTGATTATTTGTTATTTCTTCTTACTGCAGTGTGGTATGTCTAGACATCCTTTCTCCTGAAATGTGTCTCTCCGTTACAGGTTTGACATTTTCATCTGCTGCATTTCTTACGAACTTCACTGTAACATGCCATAAAATCACAATCAATATAATGTTAGGAGATAATCTTGTCTCTCTTTTTAAATTTACAATTGAATTTCATCTTTGTTCAAGTCTCAAGTTTGCTTCAAAGGTGTTCACAAACTTTAAACTGGGCCTTTATTGTCCAGTCTGAGATGGTAGATAGAAAGTCACAGTGCTTACAATGTCATGGGAGTGGTTTGTTAAACCTTACATCAGTGTATTTCTCTTATAGTTTAACATCTTCTTCCTGGGGTCTTTCTGTGGAAGCATTATAGACTGCCAACTGTTTGAACTCAGGTCAACAGGGAGCTCGAGCTACATGAATTATGCATGATGTCTGCTCTCAGGCATACAGCCCTGTCTGTGCCACCATGGCACATGCAGCACCTGAGACGGAGACTGAGTTACAGAGATCATGGAGAACAGCTGAAGATAATACAGATACGCGGAAAGGAAAGAGAGGAAGTCAGAGAAATACAGCAAATGATACCAAGCACAGAGATGTACAATATGTATGGCAAGAAAAAAGGCACAGTATTTAAAGAGCCATCTCACTGAATTTGCAAGAAGTATTTCACATGCCACTACTAGTTTTCATTATTCATTAACCTGCCAATTATTTTCTCAATTTGTTTGTTTGATAAAATGGACCCTTGCAGATGGTCTTCAAATGCATTTTTTTGACAAATGACAAATTCTACAGAAAAGTGTATTTTAAAGAAACAACAGAGTTTACTGTCAGCATTTTAATTAGAGCCACAGTAAATGTAAAGCTCAGTGTTTTGAGCAACACAAAACAGAAAACCATTAACATTTCATTGCAACCAAAAATGGCATAAATACTGGCAGGTAGTAAAAAAAACAAAACAAATGTGGGCACTTGACAGAGAAGAAGTCAAGATGAGCAAGGAAGAGATACAGTATACTGTAGTAGGGGGTGATAGGTAGAGAGTAGTGTGTGAAAATACCACAGGGAGCACTGGGCAGGGTGGCCATCTGGACCTCTGAGCTGACAGCTTGACATGTTCCAAGTGCAGTGAATGACTAGCAAATTCAATGAGAGCGGGGGACCCTCTTGAGATATGCAACACATTACACAAGAAGTGTAATTAGAGAGCTGGTGGGGCCGGCAGTGAGTGGCACCATGAACAGAGCGGTCGAACAGAGATCAATGTCCTGCTCTCTAAATTAATGAGGCTAATGTTGATGTGACGGCCTTGTCACTGCTGATTTGCAGGAAATAGGACAGATTTCAACAGGTGTGAATGAAGACATGGAACATGGTACAAGCTTATTAACTGTACAGTGTGCGCACACACACACACACACAATGAAAATGTTTCATACACACACACACAGCATGAACAAAGAATGATTAATGAATATTTTAATTTGACCACTTCATACTGCTCACCAATAAAGTAATTATTTTAATTATAAAACATACTGTTTAAAGTGAACAAACAATACAGCTGTTTACTAAATATCAACAAATTCGGGTGGGGGGGCTGAAATTTACAATAGAAATTTATCATTTTCTGAAGTAGAAAGATTATGTTGGAGGGTTGCAACAGACAATTCACAACTCAGGGCATCTCAAATATAACTAAGAACTCATAACAGATGAAACACAAGCACACGCAGAACCACACACAGCAGCATCTGCAGTCTCTTAGAGGGGAAAGACAGGGGTGATTGTTGTAAGAAAAGTAAAGCATGTATTCAACATAAGCCATAAAATGTAAAGCAGTGCCCAAAGTTATCTTTCAGACAAGAGCTTCCTAACGAAGACTGTCATTGTAAGATCATTTGTTCACAAAGACATACACATTACACACACATGAAAAAAGCACGGTCGGTAACAAAGCACCGCTGGACGTGGGAGGAGTTGAGGCTTCTTTTCATTGTTTGTGGATTACTTTTAAAAGAACAAATCCTAGATCTGTTATAACCCATGGTTGGGAGAGCCAAAAGTCAGAACTGCTCCATTTGGCTCTTTGGTATTTGGTGCTGAAAATGGCAGAAACACATATTCATAAAGTACAACATTAACAACATTATAATTTCAGAAAATTACATTTTACCCCTAATAGGAGCTTTTTCCCTCTTTTGCTTCTGATTGCCCTGTCTGTCCTCCAAACCAAACTAGACAGTCGAGGTTTGATTGCAATTAGAAACAACTTAAAAAAAACTTCTTTTTTTTTTTTAAAGAAAGCAAACAAACATACTTCACCAAGAATCATTGGCTGGGGAATAGTTTGCTTTCCTCTGGCAACTTTTCAGACACTTCAAACTATCTTCCAAGTGCTGACTGCAGGTGATTTCCAACTGATAGAGCAGATTTCCCTTTCAGCGACTCATTTCATAATTTTCCTGCTCCAGTGAGGCACATTTACTCCATCTTTGATTAGACTTTCTTTAAAAAATGAACTAAGTATTGAAAGGTGATAACATGATGCTTTATATGGAATCAAAATATGCAAACTCTCTTTAAATTATACACAGCTGTGTTAGCAGAGTGGTCCGAGCTACTTCTTCAGTGCATTTTCATTAATAATTCATTGCTCAGTTTACACTTCTTAAAGCCTCTTGAATTTGTACAGTCCTTTGACTGTGTTTAAAACAAAGCCATGTTGTCCTCATGGAAACAATCAGCTATTATAGTCTATACTGTATGCTCCCATGTTGGTTATAACCATCCATTAGTGCTCATGAGTCTTCTCCCAAGGCTCTGCTGTTCACCATAGGACTGCACTTCCACAACCACTGAAGTCAGGATTTGTGTTGTGATGAAGCAGGATGAAATGCAGCAAAGTTGATGACCAAAAACGACTTTACAAAATCTTAAGGAAAAAAAAAAAGAAAAGACAGTATTATCCCCTCTGTGTCTTGGTCCATGGTTACCCTTGTTAGTGTGTTCTTGAATGCGAATAATGGGAGAAGGATCCAGATGGGTTCTCTGTATATGTCTCTGTGATCCAGCTTCATTGTGGTTTGCTGCACCATCCAAAGCAGTTCCTTTACGGGGTTAATGGATGGTAGGCACATCTCCCAGCCAGGCACCAGGTAGCGGGCGGGGTAATGTGTACTCATTCTGCAGGGAAAG